ATCCCCTGGACCAGGTGAACTTAGGGCCCGAGAAACCAAGATCAACGAGCTCCGCCAGATTCATCCTTTCAGTGAAACGATGACAATCTATTCAGAGTATTGCGAGCTGGTATCCCCGACTTCTCTTCCGGTCTACATATAGCATTGAAGTCCCCAGTCAAAAGCCATGGCAAATCAATGTTCTTGCTGTGATTGATAAGCCTCTCCCACAGATTGCGTTGCTCTCCCTGTCTTGGAGAAGCATACACAGCAGTTAACATCCAACTCGGGCCATTACCTCTTCTAACTTGAAGAGACAGATGCTGTGAACAGGCTGAGTATGGCTGGACCGAGTACACCCCAGCATCCCAAAAAACCCATATACCGCCTGATCGCCCTTCAGCTTCCACCCGAACAGAATTCGGAAAACCAATCCTGTCGCAAACTCCATTTGCCGTATCCCCACTGATCTGAGGCTCAAGCAGCACCAAAAAGTCTGGCCGGTGCGTTTGAACTACCAATTTCAGAGCTCGTCTGAAAGCCCTGCTCCCAGCACCCCCGACATTCCACGCAATAACCTTAATATTTGAATTCATAATAAAATTGACAAAAGAAGTGAAGATCCGCGGCGGCTGGGACCAACTACACCGGCGGGGAGCTCACCGTTGTCTGGGCCTTCGTCGGGGGGAACCGTTTGACTCAGCGTCCGGTACTTTTCCCCCTGAATCTCCTGTCATCTTCTTGGCTGCTTCAGTCCAGGCACTGATCTCCTGCAAAGTCAGCGTTGCCACCCTAGCTTTGGATTTGGCTTTCCTCTCCTTAACTGGCGACCAGATTTGAAGGGGCTTCGCTGTATTGAGTTTGGCCGAAGATTTGATTCCCTGAGAATTCTTCTTCCTGTTGTTTTTCGTTCGAGCTGCGAGGGAAGGGGCAGAAATGGAGTTCGGGTCGACGTTTTCCTTCGCCAATTTGGGATTTTCGATGATCTGCATAACAGTGCCGTTTGGGCCAGTCACTGTTTTAGAAATAATTGGCGATTTCTGCTGCCTATTGGATTCTTGGCGGGCCACCTCGTTGTTCTCAGGAGACTTTAACAGCTGAACCGGAACTTGGGCCTGGGTTTGCTGACCCGAAGTTGAAGCCTCATCTGCCCCACCTTTGGGCTTCGATCTGTTGTGATTGGGCTCTGGCACATCCGGCTTTGGGCCCAAAAGCCCCTTCCCTTTTCCACCCGAACTACCCCCTCCCAAAACGACTCCCTTCTTTATCTCGGAGATGCTCATCTGACCGTTAGTGGCTTTCCTTTCCTGTGCTTGGTTCTTCTGAGGCAGGGGGCCGTTGGCGATGGCATGACTAGGTAAGCTTTGGTTTCCTTCTTTCCCTCCTGACTTCCGCTTACCTTGTTTATTTCCTTGCCCAAGATTTTGCACATCCGTATCCTTCTCGACTTTCCCTTTCTGCTGAAAATCCCGTGAATTCCGCCGTGACTTCCTCGAAACCAACATCCACGGCCCGAAGCCCGGACTGGAGTCTTCCTCGAAGGCCGGCGAACCAGTCGGCGAGTCTCCTCCGGCGACCACCACAGCATTCTGCGAAGCGGCGGGTATGAGGAGTGGGCACCGGGCAGAGCAATGCCCAATCCTTCCGCATTCAAAACAAACCTCCGGGAGGTTTTCGTATTTCAACTTTTTGCCAGGCATCGTCAAGCCATATTCGCGGAACCAATTGCTTCGATAAGTCAACCTCCACCGCTAGCCTGGCAAATTTTGCCCGTTGTTGTGTAAGGGTATGGTAGTCAAGCTTAATCGTTCTCCCAATTAGGTTTCCAAGAGTAGTCACAACCTCTTTGTGGTAGAAGTGAATCTTCAACGCCGGAAATTGAACCCAGACGATCATGGTTTTCGGAAGAGGGTCAGATGCTTTGAAGCTTGGAGTCCACTGTTGAACAACTAAATAGTGGTCAAATATCACCCATGGCCCGTCGGTCAGAGCCCGGAAGTAATCCTGCTCATTGTCGAGCTTTACCAGAAAGCAATCGTGGTCCAGGTCTTTGATTTCCATATTTCCGGTCGGTCTCCAGAGGCTTTTCAGACGGTTACAGAGAGTGATGAAGCCGATTCTCAGACCAAGCAGTCTAACAACCAAAGCGCGCTGCCATGGAGCACAAATCTTCGTCTTGAATTCCGTCGAAATTGTCAACGCCGGCTCCCCATTCCGGCTCCCTGTTATTAGATCATGTTCCCCCACTGGTGTCCACAGAGCCAGCTGATTAGGAGGTGTCAATGGTGTCGGTAAGCCCGATACCGCCTTAGCATAGGTGAACGCCTGTGCTGGTTTCTTCGATTTTGCCTGATTTTCCGCGGCCTCCATTGCCGTGGGTTGGGATCCCTGTTCTGGCGCTGCATCCGCCGGGGGCACCTGCACAGGCAAAGTAGCAGAATCAATAGCCATATCTGACACAGCGACGGGCGGAGCCGTGTTACCCATAGCTCCGGGGACATTGACAAAAGCAGAGGGGTCCATTGTATCCGGCGGCCGGTCAGACGGGAGGAGGCCCGGCGCCGGAGTCGCTAATCCATTGTTCGCTGTTGAGAGCATTTTAGCTAATGTTGGCTGAAGTTGTTAAAGCTCGTTTTCCTACCAACTAATTACCATTTTTCTCATCAAAATCCACAAGACAATTTGGTTAATTGTCTCATTTTCAAAGCGAGTCAATTCGAATTGTTTGTCCCCATCCTAGACAATTGTAATAGTGTAAAAAAAAGTCAATTTAAAATTTCCCAGACATAATTGCTTCATCTAAATTTTACGCTGCCAAATGGATCAATTTGGTCAGATTGATTTAAAATGAGACAATCAGGCCAAATTGATCCATTAGAATTCCTCATCCAAACGACGTCTTAGTTATTTCTATAAATGTATTTTAACAAATTGTTCACAAAAGTGAATAAAGTTAGTCACAACAACTCATACAATTGTCTATCTCATTGTTTGGATGATGAAAATAAAATATCCACATATATATTATGACACTTTTTTTTTTGACAAAAGATAATCATATATTGATCAAAAAGAAAGTTACACTCTGGAAGAAAGCCAGGTCAAGAAATCAAAAGAACGACTCATTGCCGGGTACAAAGAGAGGGCCTTTCTAGCCACCAAATGGGTTACCCTATTGTTACGCCGGCCAACAAATCTAACACTAAAACCAGGATTGCTGCCAAAGATCTGAACGAGCTCCTCCAACACTGCTCCCACCCGACTATCCCGGCTATCTGCGTGATTGATTTTATCAATGAGAACTTTCGCATCCCCCTCAAAGACTACCTCCACAAACCCGAGGGATTGACACCACTGCACAGCTTCACGAAGCGTAACCAGCTCGACCACGAAGGGATCATCAAAACACCGGAACTGTACCCCTATTGCTGCTAAAACAGCCTGATCCGGAGTGAGGGCTACCATACCGCCTGCCGAGTGTGAACCACTCCTCACAGCCCCATCCCAACGGCAGACAACCCCGTGGACCCTCTCTCGGGCCACAGGAGGCTGCACCAAATGCGAACTAACCGGGCTACTATCCACCGGCAGACGAACCCATTCCTCCAACTGCTGTTGAAACTGGCGCATCAGGGCTGGCAACCCAAATTGTTTGCCCTCAAAGACAACCCAATTCCGCGATCGCCAAATCCGCCACAGGACCGCCGCAACACCCATAACCATCATCGGCTGGTGAATCACGGACAAAAGCCGTTTGAGAAATAACGGGAAAGTATGACGAGGAAACCCCTCCCCCAAGTGAGCCAGCCCAGAATAATCCCACAGAGCTCGCGCTACTGGGCACTCAAGGAAAAGATGCTCCATAGTTTCCGACTCCGCCCAACATACCGGGCACCTGGGGTGAACCGGCACCCGTCTTTCAATAAGAGCCTCTGTAGTTGGCAATATCCGGTTCAGAATCTGCCAAAGAAAAACCTTCAACTTAGGTGGAATTTTAGCCTCCCACACACGAATCCAGCTTGATCTATCCATCCAGCTAACCAACGACTTCCACCTCCCCCGGCGTTTATCCAGCGCCACCGCCAAATGATAGGCAGATTTGACCGTGAACACCCCCTCCGGCGTGCCATGCCAAACAAGTCTATCATCCACCGGTCGCCGTGGGAGAGGAATCGATTTGATAGCACAGCAGGTTGGCGGATCAAACCATTGGCTAAGCTTCTGGTCATCCCAAACCCCCTCCCCCTGACAGATCACCTCCGAGACGGTCAAGGCATCCCCTTCTGGTATAACCCTAGGGTTAAACCGCGGAGGATCCAATTGCAGACTAGGAATCCAATTCGACTGAAGGAGGGGAGCAGACCGCCCGTCACCAATTTGCCACCGCACCCCCTGCTCGAGAAGTTCTCGACCATACAGGATACTTTGCCATCCCCACGATGGTCGAGACCGAGCCCGAGCCGCCAGAAACGTGCCATTAGGGAAGTATTTTCCTTTATAAACCTGGGCCAAAAGCGACTGAGGTTCCGTGAGAATGCGCCACCCAATCTTAGCTAGTAATGCCTGATTAAACTGCTCAAAACGGCGAAAACCCATCCCACCCTCATGCTTACTACGGCACATATTCCTCCATGACATCCACCGGATCCGCAGGTGATCCTCCGTAACGCCCCACCAAAAGCGGGCTACATGTTTATCCAATAGGCGACACAAAGAGAGAGGCAACTTAAAACACGACATCACATGCAATGGCAAAGCCAGAGCAATAGATTTGATCAAGGTCTCCTTTGCTGCCCAGGATAAAGTCCTCTGCTTCCAACCTTGCAACCTAGCCAATAATTTTTCCTCAAGATACTTGAACGTGGCCATCTTGGAACGCGCAAACAAAGTGGGGAGGCCCAAATATTTATCATGAACCCCAACTGCTCCCACCCCCAAGATCGCAGCCAAGAACTCCTGATCAGCACGCACCACATTATGGCTAAAACAAACAGCCGATTTTTCCAAATTCACCCTCTGGCCACTCAGTTCCTCATACTCATTCAAAACTTCAATCAAGTTCTCGCACTCCTGGAGAGTACCTCGCAAGAAAAGATAGGAGTCATCAGCGAAGAAGAGATGAGAAATCCTGGGAGCCCGAGGAGCTACTTTTACCCCCCCCCCAAGCGGTCATCCAACAAAGCTTTTCGAATGAGCGCCGCAAAACCCTCCGTACATAGCACAAATAAAAGAGGAGACAGTGGGTCCCCCTGTCGTAACCCTCTAGTAGATGTGAAATACCCTGCAGGAGTACCATTCATGAGGACAGAGAAAGAGGCAGACCGTAGACATTCCTGAATCCACCCTCTCCAGGTAGAATTAAAGCCCATTTTATCCAAAACAGCTAGAAGAAAGGTCCATTCGACTCTATCATAGGCCTTTTCCATGTCAACCTTTAGAGCCATGTAACCTTTCTTACCCCGTGTTTTGATTTTCAAGTAGTGCATTAATTCATGCCCCAGGAGAATATTATCGATGATCTGACGGTCTTTGATAAACGCATTCTGACCCTCTGAGACGATTTGCGGTAAGATGCAAGCAAGACGCTCTGCCATAATTATGGTAATAATCTTATAAACAAACTGGCAGAGACTAATAGGGCGTAAATGACGCATAGATTCAACCGAATCAACCTTCGGGATGAGGGTGAGCCAGGTGTGGTTGAAGCTACGGAGTAGTCGACTTGTCGCAAAGAACGAACACACCGCCTCCACCACCGAGGGCCCCACAATATCCCAGAAGCTTTTGAAGAATTTGCCGGTGAATCCATCCGACCCCGGCGCCTGTTTCGATCCCATTGCAAACACCGTTCGACGAACCTCACAAGGGAGAACTTCCGCCGTTAGGTTTGCGTTCATCTCCGCCGTGACCGTTCGAGCAATTGGCAAGGCCGCCACCCGCTCCGCCATGTTAGCAACCTGGTTCTCAGTAGAGAAAAGGTGCTGATAAAAAGAAGTAGCAATATTAGCTTTGCCTTTTTCCTCCGTAACCCATTCCCCAACCTCATTGCGAAGGCCTTCCACGAAATTCTTTTTACGGCGAGTTCTGGTTACAGTATGAAAATAAGCTGTATTTTGATCACCCTTCTTCAACCAGTGAACCCTCGATTTTTGCTGCCAGTAAGCCTCCTCCGCCTCCCACTGGCGGTTCAGCTCCATCTCCAACCCCCGAACCACGTCCCAGTCGATAGGATGGACGCCCTTAACCTTTTCAATTTCACTCTGCAGTGTGTTGATATTCCGCAAAGAGTTGGTCGTGCCTGCCCTGCTCCAGTCATATAACAAATGGCGAAGCCGCTTGAGACGTTCCCAAAGACAGAACATCGGCGTTCCCTGAATATCCTCTTGCCATACATAACAAACCATGGCCCTAACCTCCGGGTTGTCTGCCCACCGGGCATCAAACCGGAACAGGGGACGACTATTACGGGCATAAGGTTTATCCGAGAGAAGAAGCGCACCATGGTCAGAGCCCTGGTCAGTAAAATGCTTAACCAAAGTATCAGGGAACTGGTCTACCCAAGATTGAGAGCAAAGGGCTCTATCGAGTCGTTCTCGAATGCAAGCGAGACCCATACGACGGTTTGACCAGGTGAAAGGATCGCCAAGGAATCCCGGATCATGCAACCCAAGATCTTGGATGAAATCCCGCAGACTGATCGATGGAGTAGCATTCCAAGGGTTCCCACCATCTTTCTCGCTCATATGAAGGGTCGTATTGAAATCACCAATGACCACATAAGGAAGCGTAAGGGATGAGCAAATCTCGCGAAGGTGGGCCAACTGGTCTGCCCGAATATCACAATGACAACTAATATAAACACCAATCACAATATAAGAAAAATTAACTTCATTAATCTGGGAACAAATACAGAAGTTTGAATGATAAAACACCGAAGCATCAACTCCGGGGGACCAAGCTATAACTAAACCACCGGACGCATCAATGGCATCCACAAAAAAACACTGGGAAGAATCAAAACCTAAACCCCGCATACGACGAGAAACAACGCATCAATGGCA